CTCCGTTGTTTCGCCATTTCCCGGCTATATAGCGCCCTATTAGCATTTTAGGCTCAGCACCAAATCATCGTGCCAACTGCCTTTAAGGAACGCATTGTGCAATACTGAGCTCATCCTCCTAGGAACAGAATTGTGGTACTACTGTACTCGAAATTAGTTTACGCAAAAGGTCCTTCCCCATTTAGATTTAGGCAAAGGTCTTCGTCTCTGTTGGGGCAATTCTAAATGTGCGCATATATTTACTACATTTCGATATTCACACTGTGGGAACGTCCTGAGACTGAAGTCCAGCACTTCCAATTACTCTTTTGCAATCAATTGGTCTGATCGGTACTATTTTGTTGTTCCGTAGCTGCACACGCAATGAGTGCTATGAATTTTATTGGTATTTTTAGATGAAAAAATAATGCAGAACCTACAACAAATCCTTTCCTTTCTCCCTCCTTGCAATTTCTCGACTTACGATTTCCGCTTCTGAGTAAATGATGCTAAAATGGGCAGGCCGTGGGAGAAGGTGTCCGCAAAGGGAGACCTATTTGATCAGTTGCGACAAATAGGGTTGTTAGCCATTCAGCTAATAGGAATTCCATGATAAGCAGTACAGTGGTAGTCCTTTCGGGAGAATACTGCAAATTAAGGGCCCCGTCAAGAAGCACGCCATCTTCACGAGTCTCAAAATTTCTATTGATCTAGAGAACCGTTGTATCCATTCGAATAATAGGAACCTAGACGATTTTTGAGCGATTTCTTAGATAAAGCGATTTTTGAGACAAAGCGCTGCAGGCTTAATGCAACGGTCTGCCATACCTTACTGGTCCTATAACAGCTTGAGGTCTCTGTTCATTGAGAATGAGTAGACGACGAGCAGAACCCCCTCCAAGGCTACGAAATCGGAACGAACAGGTCGTACCTCATTCTACTTTATTCACGAGCTTCTGACCTATGATCGATCAGGTCGTCCAATGGAATTGAAATGGAATCGCTATATCGAACTCGGACTCCTGAACCAAACAAGAGCAGACCAGTAACTGCTCCTCTCAAGTGAATGTCACATGTGCGCGCCGACGGACAGACAGACACCATGAGAACGAGCGTGTGGGTCGTAAAGCGGCGGATTTTTGAACCAATCAATAGGCTCGCACACTAACTTATCACTACGTTGTTAGCTTCATGGAACGTGGCTTTCATGGAAAAAAACCAGCCGCTCCATGACTAGCGCGTTACTTCACCTTCAGCGAATTGACCGCGAACGCTTATGGAGAGCCAAGTGTCTGTGTTATATCAAACGCCCGATGTCGCTCTTCTGGATTAGATATGTAACGTATAACCTGATTTCTACACGAAGGAGCAGCTGAGAAACAACACGCAGAGTTCCCGGAATCAGTCTCTGACCCTTTCTCTTGAGAAATGAGCCTGAAGAATAGCCCCATGGGACTGAGATAACAATGTTTCAACAGACTACAAGAAGGCTTATGCAATGAAGACCAGAAGTCCATTGACATTATATGCTCCATCGGTTCCGCATCGCTGCTTGCATCGCGGTAAAGCCATAGCCTTTTCGGTGGCTTTTGAGAACAACCCATTTTTCATTTCACTCAACGATCCTTTCTGGATGAAAGTGGTGAGAAAATTTATGCAAATGGCTGTCATGGAAGTAATTCTGTTAGTGCTGTATCCGGGAAAAAAATTGCAGAACTTATTTTGTTTTTTTATATAAGGGAGGATACTGACTGCATTCACCCAGTGCACCCAGTGCTTCTAACGACCTGCTGAGTGGCGAGAATTTTCCATCGCTGAAGGGCCGAAGTGGCTTTTAGCAGAGCGCTTTGCTGTTCAGCCACGCAAAACAATGAGCGTCAACTCTCCAATCTATATAGTGTTGTAACGGAAGGAGCAGGCAACAGGGCGCCTATGCGGTAACGATCTATTTTGATTAGCTGATAGGCGAGAAGTGCTGAAAACGGCATCACCTAGCAGCAGTATAGGACCTGATATAGGGTAGAGCTGTTCCTAAATGACCATGGTCGATGTTACTTGTAATAGGCACCTGCTACCAAAAAGGAGTGGGGATGAGTTAAGCGTCTGTACGCATACTGAGCCCTAAACTGATCGCGCAGAAGGCAGCAGTTCCATATCCACTGTGTTCATTCTCGTTCAAGCTCTTTCGGGTCTGCCTAGCCGAACTAGACGAGGCGCATAATCGCCGTTTTAGTGCGAACCAAATAACAATTCATCCCTCTTCCTAGACAGTTCCGTAATAGGGCGTGTGCCTACGGGAGGAACGCGATCGCATTCTTTCTTCAAGATGTTTTCGATTAGAAAAGCGCTTGAAGCGGTAAGGCGACCGGTCTTCCGTGATATTAATCGCGAAATGTGAACCTATCTGCAGTCGCATTCCAACCCAGGTTCCTGTTTTGAGTTGGAGACTGGGAATTGTTTAGGGAGATCGTGCCTCTGATTGGCCACCACACACAGTCCACCAATCATCGTTATATCAAGAACATGGTTCATGTTCAGTCAATGGGACTCAGACAAAGGGCAGGATGGTGGACTGG